ACTTGCATCTTAGAAGAATTAACAAACAAACATACAGAGACGTAACAGTACCATGAATTTTTAAATCTAGCTTAAACTCTATTTTCACAACAAATATTTTGTATTTTAATTTTGCTGATTTTCAATTTGTAATTAAAATTTGATTTGCTCTTTATTTAAATAGAGAAACCAAATATTAGAACTTCTGACATGATGTACTTTGAGAATGTTTTTATATTAAAGTTGTAATACAAGCATGAACCTAGCATTCTTTAATTACTTATGGTAAGGTTGTGGTGTATGATATCAATCATTGTGATGGTTAATAGCCTATACAATCACCTAAGTCTAATTAGTAATTAGTAAGTTTGCTTTTTATATATATATATATAATTAATTACTAATTAGTAACTAGTTTTTATCCTATGCTTCAAGCTGCTAATCTGTTGCTGTCTTCAGGGAAATCCTGGGAGACTGTTTTATGTGATAAATAAAATATAAACCAAGAATAAACAGGAATAAAATTACAGATATACATATTAGAGATCTGTTTGAAAACATAAAGAGGATATTTAAAGAACATAAAGTCATAACAGTATTTAGAAATCTCATTACAATAGCAATGGAGATGATAAAAAAAAACATTTATAGCATCCTCTGTGAATGTGGAAACCAAATTAGAAAACCAAAAAATACCTACAACAGTTAGAATTCAGAAGCATAATAAACATACAATACTTGGTGATACCAGTCTATCTGCAATAGACTATCATGCCAAAGAAGAAGACAATATATTAAATTGAAATAACACTGAAATAATAAAATATGAATCATGCATAACAACAAAGGAACATAAAAGAAACCTTCTAGTCCATCTATCTGATAACACACTCAGTCAACCTAGTATAAAAATCAGCAAAACATGAATACCTCCTCTTGAAGACATTCAAATAGTTAGTTGATTTAAGTTCTCATGGTGAAGACTCAAGTCAGTTGGATAAAGCACAAAACTTCTATTAAAAAGACCCAGGATCAAATCCTGGCCATAAACAACATAGAAAATTGTCTTCTTCAGGACTTCTTGAAAACAGCAACAGATTAGCAGTCAAAACTGCAGATAAAAACTAGTTACTGCTTGGTATCTAATTATATTTATTATAAAAAATTTACTAATTCATTATTAGACTTAGGTAATTGTAAAGAATAACCATGACAGTGTAATATGAACATTTTAATTTTTACTCTATATTACGTTGTCACTTAATTACTATAAACACAAACTTAATCACATTCCATATGCAACAGCTCATAAAATGTCCTTTCAGATTTTAAAATAAGCTTTATACCCAGCCATGTTTCAGACCTATAGTTGGGATGAATTTTGAAAAAAAGACAATCTGGAACACCCGTTTTTAAGTTTTTGTTTTTATTTTAGCTCTAAGCTACACAATGAGCTATCTGCATTTTGTTCATTGCAAGGAATGGAACCATAGACCTTTTTTAAGTTTACTGTAAGATCTTATTGATGCAATAAATGTATACTCACAATTCATCAGGACAGTTGATTGGCTGAGAAAGCCTGTAACCATCGCGAAGAGATGCCCCCATTTCAAAGGGATCTATTTCTACATAAGGCTGGTGACCAAGGGTCATCAACTCCCAAAGAGTGACACCAAATGACCACTTAAAATAAAAAGAAACAATTTTACAAAAGTGGAAATAATGTATGGAACTAGTAGGACTTTCTAAAACACATCTATTATATAATACATCACAAGACTTTGTAATGTAAGATCATAAACACTATACCCTCATCACTTCTCTAAATTCCAAACATTTTCATACTAAGTTTCTTTGTTGATACCAAAAAAAATGGTGAAACTTAAATAAAAGTCCATTCTTATTAAAATATATGAAAGAACCTCATTATGATAATTAGCCTATTTTTTTCACCAAGACAGAAAACAGTTTGATCTGTATTGTGCAATATTTCAGTGAAATGGCCAAAGTCTAGCTACTTTTTATAAGCTTTTTAGGATTTAGGTTTTTCAATTACTTTCAGAAGTTTTAATAAATCAAATATATTTGATGATTCAATTCCTTTTACACAGTGATAAAATGATACATTTTCCTACTTACAACATCACTAGCTGTTGAGAACTCTTTTTTGAGTAAGCTCTCTAATGCAAGCCATTTTACAGGCCTGTTTTCATTGTCACCAAGACAATGGTAGTCATTGGGGAATAAATCACGTGACAAGGCATTGTCTGTAATTTTCACATGTAATTTGTCATCCACCCTAAAACAAATAATGAATATCGATATTAAACAATACATTTATAACAATAAACTTAAAGACTGTTGATTTTCATCATAAATAAACTGTTAATTATTGGGAAACTGATAACATGAAAAGTTCCATAACACCCTAACAAACAATAACTATTAGTGTTTAGTTATGTTGCTGTTAGGATTAAGTATCAAATGGTTATATGTAAATCTGGAAGGTTACAAATGCTTTCAGTTTCTTATAATGTGCCTCACAGTTTCTCAGCAGTAAGTCTGCAGGCTTAAGACGCTAAAAATGAGGTTTTGATACCCATGGTGAACAAAGCACAGATAGTCCATTATAAAGCTTTGTGCTGAAGAAAAAATAAACCAATTCTTATAATGTATAGGATTAGAATGTCTAAAAGGTTACCAGTCAAATCTACTACTCCCACAGCATACTGAAGATTATATAAACTAGTAGTTAAAAAAATAAAATCTACATTTCCACACAATTTACAGGATGTAAAGTCATATAAAATATTAGATGTGATAAGGAGGACAAGTAGTTGATAACGGGCAATTTTAGAAGTTCCTTATAATGTTCAGAATGAAAAGGAATAGCAGTTAATTGATGGCAGTTTTTAACATTCATATAAACTTTAGGATTAGTACTAGTAGTTCAGAAGTAGTTAAATCTATCATCTTTATATAGTATATTAAGTTTCAAAATTCAAGTTGGCTAGTTAGCCCTGACCTAAAGATTATGTACTTTCTAAAAGTGATATAATCAACAACTGTTGTTTTCAATTAAATTGTTTTGTTTAATATTATACATATATATATATACATATATAAACACACACACACACATATTTATAATTGTGTTTTTCTTTAAAAATCCTACATCTTCAATTGATAAAAATGTAATTAACATATATATACATGTTCTATGAATGGATCAGTTAAAATTCCTGGAGGACTAGTTAGAATCTTTGTGAAGGACTGGTTACGAATGTTGCAAGTTTTGGATATTGGGTTATAAATATCAGGAAGGCGTAGGACTGCCTATGTAGGAATGGACTGGATTGTTCATCAAAATGGTATTTTAAATATCTCCTCAAGATATCATCAGAACTTTACAATACTATACAATGTTCCCTTTTATAACAATATCTATGTAATGACTGAGTCACAAGTTCTGGGAATATCTGTAAATATCATAGCAAAAGGTTTGAATTTATTGTTCTTCTTTCCGCTGTTTCTTTTTTATTACATGATAACTCAAAAACTCAACAATGGTGTCAATCAATTTCACTGAGGTTACATAGCTTCAAATGGAGTATCCACTTTTATAAGTATTATTAACTAGTAGAAGTAATTAAAAAAAAATAATTATTGTGTACGTAATGTTATCATTATTCCTTGAAATTAGTGTTTCTTTAAAAGTACAGGTGAAACAGGAATTACCAGCCAATAATAGATAAACAATAAATATTACAGTTGGAACCTCACTGTATTTACAACCTGGTTATAAAGACAACCTTCCTATGTCTATTGCAACACTGCATTAAAAAAAACAAGTAAAGAAAAAATTTTCAAAAAAGAAGTAAATGAAGGGACGGCTAATATCAATCCTTCAAAAACAATGCAAAGAAGATAGTAGTGATGGCATTTGCACAGTGTTAAACAGTGTAGTAGAATGTTAACAGACAAAAATAGAATATATTAAATTCAATTGTGATTGAATAGTTATATATATATATATTGCTATATGTTAATTCTTGCCTGTGCTATTATGTAGGGATGATGTAAATGCCATCCATACTATCTTGTTTGCATTGTTTTTGAAGGATTGATATTACTCATCCTTACATTTATTTCCTTTACTTGTTTATACATAATAATAAAACTTAACAGTTAACAAAAATCAAATCTATCTGTTTTACATCACCTAATGATTATAAGATATAAACAAAATGAAATAAAACAGCTTTACAAAATTTATTGGATTAAAAAGATCCATATTTAATTAAAATTCATATCTTCATCTTCTACATAATGCAGCAGACTAGAATGGCTGGTAGTTGATTAAAAGTAAAATCTACTAATTCCATGTGAAAGTATAGGGTTAAAATGTTTACCAAGTAACACTAAACACCACACCTACAATTTTCCAGATAATATACATGATTAGAAGAAGTAGCAGCTGACCAAAAGCAGTTTTAATAATTTTAAATACGATTTTTTTTCTAAAGGCATTTAAGACAGATTTATGACAAAACGTATTTTAACTACTTTATTAGTAAAAAGATGAGAAACTTAGATATATATTGCCATAGTGAAAATAACTTGCATTTCATAACAGCACAGCTAACTTTGAAGTCTGTTCAGATGGTTAGATGTATACATAAGTAACTGTTATAATCATTTCTGTGAGTTAATGTTATCTAGAGACTTTTGAAAAAGCAGGAGTTTGAAATAAATAGAGAAAATTTAGTTTAATCTTGGAAGTAAGAGAAAAATACAGAAATATGACTACTTACACACAATTCCTAGCAGCTAGATCTCCATGGATTATCTTCTTCTTGTTTAGATAAATCATTCCCTGGACAATCTGGATTGCCATGCCAACAAGGTCTTGGGTTAGCAATGTCTGAAGTATAAGTGAGCAAAGTGAGTATTATTACACGTCCAAAAATTACCATGATCATGATAGATTTTCATAAATAATATAAAACATTATTTCTTAATTTTGTAAAGTAGATATGCTTTAAATTGAAAAAATTCTATCAAAAATTTACTTTACTTTTAAGCTAGGCTGCTAAATAGCTAATGTAAGCTTTAAGTAGAAACATCAGTGAAGCACATTATAAAAAATTATTGTAAGGTTTTTATAAGGACCGAATTCTTTACAGTAGGTGTCTGTGACTTGTTGGTAATGAATTTCAACTATAAACAGACAGCACACAATCTACTTGTTTTAAAATAATATATTAAAAAAAAAGATCAAACATATGCATACAACTTCATTACACTATTGGTTATCATATTTGAATCCAGAGATTTAAATAACTGTCACTTTTTCATCAAAGTCCACACAGGCGGGTTCGATTATTTTAGAACACCATTTGACAAAACAAATTATTCTTTTCTATCTCTGTCATTGCAATACAGGCTGCAATACTCACTTTAAAATCACCATTATAACTGTTGGCTACCATAGTTGTATCCAGAGCTTTAAATAATTGTCTCTTTGTTGTCAAAGTCCACACAGGCAGGTTCAATTACTTTAGAACACCTTTTGACAAGACTAATTATTGTTCTCTATCTCTGTTGTTACAAAACAAGCTGTGAAACTCTTACTTTAGAAATCGCCTGTTACGGATAAACTGAAAATCATGCAGTCAAACTTCATTTTTACTTTCACTAACTTACTTACTTCCTCTCTATATCTGCACATATTTATAATATGACAGAAAAATCTGGAAATATCTAGCCCTCTAGTAACAACAATATTACACATAAAGAGAAAAATTTAGAAGCTTCGAGTAAGATGACTTGAACAATATTACCAAAGTCTAGTACAACAGTTACACTGCATACACAATGTATGACTCATACAGAGTTATGTAACAAAACTTGTCATAACTATCACTTTTAAAATAATTAAGTTTTAACACTATTGTTATAAAAACTAAATAATAATTAAATATTAAATCACTAAATAATCATTAAATATTAAATCAATAAATAAACTAAATAATAACTCTTAAACTGAACAGTCTTGTATATCCAACAATTATTTTTAAAGTTAACTTTAATAAGAAAATATTAGTGAATCACTAGATTCTATAATAAATAAAATGGCTTTTCTGTCGTACTCTACATATTTTTTAACTTTAAGTTTAATTCTTTAAACTTCTAATATACTTGTTAAGTAAGCTTTGGATCAAAATAAACATTTGAATATGCACTAGATATTCAAAACTTCTGTAATGAATAATATACATTTTAAACCAATAAATCATAAATGAATCATTCAATGAATATTATATAACACTGTATACAGTTAAGACTTATACAATATTAAAGAAAATAAACAAAAGCAATTGAAAATATTCTCTGTCACCACAAGTCAAAGAATTCTTGAGGATGTTAGAAGTTCCTTTACTTACTTCACACATTTTACATAAAACTCTCAAAATAAAATAAATGAAAATTAATATTGTAATTTCATTTTACTGAAGTGTGATGTTTTGAAGTTGTTTGAGTTAGATTCTATCAGCTAAACTATCTTACATGACAGTGGCCTTCAACTGAAAACTTGCACTTCTGAAGAAAGAGTTTCAGGTTTCCTCGGTTCATGAAGGGATAGACCAGAAGAGGGTGCTGCACATCATCCATGCAGACAGCAATGATTGGTAATACATTCTTGTGATTTGTCCCATACATCTTCATTCCTTCAGCAAGAAGCAATGATATCTGGTCTTTAGAAGCTTGATCTGAATAAAGAAAAAACAACAACTCAACATAAAAATTTTACAAATATTGTAAATTAAATGATCTGTCTATAGGAGGACATTTAAACTATGGTGGGGAACTAATATATATAGTTTAAAAAGATAAAGAAGATTTGTTTATGAAAACTATCTTAACAAAAGTTATATTTGACTAAATTACTTAAAACTACATGAAATTACAATTTGTTTATTATATGTATAAAAAATTTATAATTTAGTGGATAGAACACTTATCACAATTGTTTATAGGGAGAGAGAGAGAGAGATGAAGTACTATGGCAGTATTATTTTTCTCTCTCGAGTGGCAGAACTGTCATGGCACTCTGGTAGATACTTTTATCCTATAAGAAAAGCCTTTTAATGATTATCTCTTTTATATAAGTGCCAATCAGAAGTACTGTTGGAAAAATGTAAGCTATACATTAATATACTTATGGTTCTGCTATTGTGGTACCACCTGTTAGAGACAATGGTGGAAACTCTTAACTTGTAAAAAAAATGTCTTAATTAACCTGAAATATTTCATACAAACCTACTTGAAAGATTTTAGCTATAGACTAACCTTGTCAATTAAACTTCATTAAATTGTTTTGCAACATCTACTAAAAGCACTGATAAATATTTCAAGATTGTGAACTCAACTTTCATTTTATTAAACTGTTGAAATAAAACAACTCTAAAAAAAAACGAAAAAACTTTATTATATTTCCCCTCAGTCTTTAGTGATAAAACCTAACAGATATTCTGCTACGAAAATCTTAACTGTAGATTAAACTTTCTGATAATCCTCTCATTTTATGTAGCAGAAGCAAACAAGAATACAGCTGTGTGCCTGAGCTGAAAGTTACACTTTTTGTAAATCTCCTAACTAAATATATCTAATCAAAAACAAAGATATGACAAAAAAATGCAGCCAAAAAAAGGGGAGCATGTAACTTAAAGTAAAGAAATCAAATTGGTGGCCAAACTGATAGCTACACTTATAGCATTGATAAGAATTTCACTGCAATTATTCATTCATTAGTTAGCCAGGCCACATTTTTTGTTTAACTTGGGGCAAGTAAGAAAGTGACACTAGACAGTAATCAACATTAGCTTTAGGATCGTAACCCTATTATTTGGAACAGACCTATACTTTACAAAACCAGTCAGATTCTTTAAAACATATGGTGGTAGTTTCCTCTCTAAAACAGTGTTAATAACTTCCTTTATAGTAACGCCATGGAATCTAGATTAACAGTTTCTTGTCATCACCCACATGCAGTCGGTACAGCCATATCAAGCATCATTATTTACACTAACTGCTTAAGCTAATATCATGTGATGCTAAATACTCTTTAATTAGGAGAATTTCATAAAATGTAGCAAATTTGTGCTTAAAAGTTAGCAATGAATGATGAATAATAAGTGCCCATTCATTTAATTCCTTTGAAACTTCTAATCTAGTTTGCTTAGCCTAAACAGTACTTATGTATCTGCATGTGCTTTCACACTATAGTTTTGCTGTTCTAAGCCAGCCACCTTTAATACGAATGACAAAAAGCTAAAAATGGTGCACCTTTACTCTTAGATGAAGCTGTAGTAAATTTTTAGATTGATAGCTAAATGTGACTTTTTGCATAGGTGTGTGCAAATGACAAAAAGCTAAAAATGGTGCACCTTTACTCTTAGATGAAGCTGTAGTAAATTTTTAGATTGATAGCTGTGCCTTTTTGAATAGGTGTGTGCAAATATTTTGGTCAAAATTGAGTGGTTTTTATTGAATAACTAATTGTAGGTTCTAACGATCTGTCAGTGTACCAAATTTGCAAAAAAAACCATGAAAGTTAAGTCTATTTTTCTATCCAATAATGTTTCCATACTTTCAGTGCTAAGAAAAAAGGAAAGAAATTCAATTAAAATTGGAGATTTTATATCTCGTGTATTTCTAAATTGATTACCTTGAAATTTGGTATGTGAAGTACAGGTGCAGTAGAGCACATCCATTGAAAATATGTGGTAGTTTGGAATACCACAGCCCGAGCTACAGAAATTGGAAAATTGTTAAACTATCATTTCTGTTAATAACACACAGTGTGTACTGCAGGTTGTTTTGGTTGCACAACACACTACTGTGTGTCTTGATATATATCATAGATGGCTGGGTCAGAGCTTTCCAGAAAGACTTCTGTTGAAGAATTCTAAACAATAAAATAAACTTGTTAAGTGATTTTTATATATGAATTGGAAAAAAAAAACAGAACTTACCAGATACTGTTTTCACAAAAGTATTCTGTTTCATGGTGATTTCATTGTCAGTTTCAATCAGCATTCCACGATAAATTTGACCAAAGGTTCCTTAAGAGTAGAAAGAAAAATTATTTTAACTTAAAAGCATAATAACATTGAATTTGATTTTTTAAGTCAGACGTTAAACACACACACACATATATATATGTATATGCAAAACATTATAGAGCTAAATATAATGTAACTCATTCAAACTTGAAAACTAGAAAATAGCTTCATCTGTTCATGGGGTTACAGTAAAATAAATGCACAACTGACCAACCTACATGAAGATGAAGGTGTTTAAAGGTAATTTGAGAGAGAGTTCTTCTTTCCTATTAATTTACACAAAGAAAACACAATTTCGTAGTTATACAATGATAAGGTCACTTCTGTAATTTGACTACTTATATTTAACCTATTAATCAATACCACAAGTAGTTATGTATTTGAACACTAATAAAAGTACCTCCCAATGTTGGACTTAATAAATAATGTAATAAATAGGGGCTGAGGTTCCACCCTTCTATTATTTTTAGCCATAGCACACAAACCATTTGTCCAATTTAAAGATACCTTTGCTATGTGCAGCATGAAATGTAACTTTATTTTGGCATTGGCTTCACATAATTTGCTACAGACATCCTTGCTAAGTTCAGCCTTTTTTGCAGCATTAATGTGACAAAATTGAAATGGCTGCCAACCTGAACCATTTATCCATTTCAGATCAATCTTTAGAAAGGTTACCCAAGTTTCTTTATCAAATTTCATCGAGACTGATTCAGCCAATTACTCACAACAATTTGTGACATCAGTTAACCCTACCTTATGTGTATATATATATATATATATATATATATATACACTAGCTGAAACTTAATAACAAATATTTTAAGTAAGGACTTACTTATCCAAAATACCTTTATATATAAGTATTTTTTAAACAGTTGAAATGAGTTATTAGCTAGAGTTTTGTATATCAACTTCTTACATTCTTACAATTCTGGTCAAATGTTCAGTATTGTTATCTGTTATTAGTAATAATAATAATATTCATACACAGTTGATTATTTTGTCAGTGAATTTCGTATTTCTTGATAATCAATAATGTTTGGCATTTCTGTGTTTTCAATCATAAACAAAGTTTTCAGTAACAACATGTCTTTTCTGTGTTATACTTCAATAAGACAGGTATTTTCAGTATTGGTGGAACCTTTGTGAATCAATCATTACCTATTACTTTACAAACTCCTTTTTCTAAATCAGTACTAAGCCATCATGTTCTTTAATATTTATGTTGATAATGATTTTCAGTTGTCACAGAATAAAATGTTTTACATAATACACAAAACACAAGAATCTGTACTTCAACCTAGTTCTCCTAAATTATCAAAACAAGCTATCTACACAGATAAGAATTAAAATTAACCCAGTAATGAATGCAACTAATTTAATGTGCTGAGCTGTCTATCTCTAAGTATTTAATAAAAACACAAACAACTTATAATGATTAGAATGCATATTTTCATCATTTAGGTACCCTCATTGTTAGTAATATTTTTGGTTATAATATTAATAATATCTCACAAATTACAATTCTCTTAAAATCACTATAGATATAAGATGAAAATTTAACTTTAACTTAAAGATAAAGAGAGCACTTTTGATCTCAGAATGATCTAAATAAACTATTTTACATATATTCTAAAAATTTCATAATATGCAAAAAAAAAAAAAAGTTAATCACACTAAGAAGCCTAGTCAAAAAATATCTCATCCTCTGTTATTTATTATAAAATGTTACCTTCTTGTATCTTTTCATACAATACAATATTCTTCCTTTCAACATCAATCTCACTAATTTGTTCAGTTAGTTCAGATGCTCGTAAGTTGTTCACTTGTACTGGTACGTTGATAGACAATGGGGTTAGACGTCGAAAACTAGAATAACCTGAAATCAATTAAAGTAATAATAAGCTCAGAACTTTTCCTTTGCCATTCTAACTAAAGTATCTACATAATCAATTAGTAAAATTCATTAGAAATCTAATAAAATAAACTCGTGAAATTAATTGGGTTGGTAATATGCGAGTCTGTTTGACTAACATTTATAAGCATATGATTTCACTTACTTCCTGTTGTACTAGCATTATTTGGTGTGTCTACCCTCAAGAATGTTTGGCCATGGTCAGAAGCTCCTCTAGACGAGTCTCCTCTGTAACTGACAAAGAATAATGATGTAGATCAACCAAAAAAAAGGTGTCCAATACATTTGAAAGCTAATAAAGATATAAAACAAAAACAGTGGGTTGGAAAAACGTCGCTACCTCTAGCACTTTATAAGCTTGTGGCAAGAAGCGATATATTTCTTGTTTTTTTTTAATTACTGAACTCTTCCACATTTTTTTTTCACATTCCTTGGTGTTTGTACATAAAATACATTTCTTCATTCCATGATGCTTTACAAGACTTGAAGCTATTCATATATAATAACTCAAGCTGTCTGATTCAGAGATAGTTTAAAAATAACAATATACCACACGAGATCATTATTTGTTGTGCAAAAAAGACTTTAAGTTCAAAAATAATAAGGAGAATTAATAATTCAGAAAATCCTTACATACATACATATATTGTGCAAAATATGCTGTTAATTCAAAAATAAACACAAATGTAAAATATTACATAAAGCTATTTTTCATATGTTTACGCCATTTTAAGAATATTTAAGAGTAAAAAAACAAATTACAAATCAAGAGTATTTAACTGAAAAAAAAAACACAATAATTTCTAGCTAAAGATTTCTGATTTTCATAATAATAACTTACTTGGAATTACTCCTGCAGGATTTTTTACTTCGAATGTAGCATGCAGTGGCTGTTGCTGTCATGATAACAATCAAACCACTGGCACACCCAACAGAAATGTAAAAGGAACTAGTTGATGCCACCATGGCTGATGGGTCTGAAGTAGATAAGAACCATAAGATACTTAAAATCTAGATCTATAATATTTAAACCATTTACTTAAAAATTCTCAAAATGGTTTTAGAAAGCATTTTTTTATTTTGGCTTACTAACTTCAAGTGTACGACATCTACTTTTGTTTTCATGGATAAAAGGTAACATTTTGTATATCAAATTTCATAAAGCTACCCAAAGATTACTAAGTTATGAAGTTAATGGTAAAGTTAAGAACTGAATTAATTTTTATGTCATTAAAATTTACCCCTTTATTTATATGGTTTTGTTAGCTTGTGAAAATATTTATATTTTTCACCTTACTTCATGAGGTTCTTTTTGTAAAAGCTTAAACATTTTTAAGAAGTGAGAGAAGACTGAACAGTAATGATAGATTTTTTTTTATCTTTAAATAAAATAGGTGGCCATGATTTAAATATACATGAATACCCAAGTGAGTAATTTGTGTTTGTGAGTGATTTAACTATATTAATTTGCTTTTATATTCATTATCCAAATTTAATGTTTAATTTGTTACTGGAATTCTTCGGGCTTTGTGATTATAGAACATCAAACTGTTTGACTAAGTTATTCTTGTGTTGTTTAGTAGTCATATTTGTTTAAGTACAATACTACAGGGACATTAAAAATTTCTATTTCCAGCTTGTGTGGGTGTGTATGTATGGGAAGGAAATATAAAACCACAATGGACCAAGATCCTTCTGTTTGTGGACTTAACACTCTTAAATGTGATCCACATGAAAGTACAAGGAAATCTGTGGTTATTTTTTCTTATGAAAAATATATATTCCATTAATTGAATTTGACTGTCTATGAGGATACTATCAGTGGTTTCTTAATGTTGTCATTGTCCTATCCTTGATATTGCAGCACCTGAGAGGTTTGCAATTCAGTAATGTTATCTCTCCATCATGCATATAACAAATAAAATGACAAGTACGAAAATATTACTATTGATAAGAACTTGCAGTTGATTATTTGGATAAGGCAAATTATTTTCCAAGATGAAACTATTATAACTGATAAGCATTCCTTTTTCTTGATTCCAGTTGTGTGGTTTAGGAATATTAATAATAAGCTGATAAATTTGTCTGCAGGTAATCCACATTTGTAATTTACTACCTTCTTATTTTAGAGATATACTGACAGGACTAAGTAGATATTTTGTGTTCTTACTGCCAGAAAGGAAAGACATTTTGTGTTATGTGTTCATTGTAGTTGTGTTAGGATCTTCACCATATCTAAAGATCTGGTTATTTAAGTGTTGAAAATATGTTGATTTCAGTTTTTGTTTAACCATCATAATATGGATATTAAACAAGGAGATTATTCTTTTTATATAACCTAGTGTATCAGTAAGTAGTCCATTACTGTTGTTAAAACACCCAGTATAAGTTCATCATCTGAGTACAAGTTAGACACCTCTGAACTGAGATATTGTTACTTAAGAAACATCACAATATAATAGAAATTGAAAAAAAGACAAGGAAATTTATCAACTTACCCATTAACATAGTTTCATTGTGGCTTTCATCTGAAATATTAAAAAATGAAAATCTAATTCTTATACAAAGCATTACTAGTTTTAAAGTTTTACTTGGTTTGTTTTAATTCTTATTCCACTAACTTTTCCAATCATACATTGTTTAATCCTTATATTAGATTCATCTAGTTTTGGTCAAATTTCTTATTTATAATTGGTATATTTAGTTTGAATATGAATTATACTGGTACGTCAACCGGGGGTCACGTGACGCTAGTAACACGTCATATTCTCGAAGGTTCGTGAATGCTCGAGCGTTTACTAGATTTCGGTATTCTTGTGTATATAAGACAGTGCAAACTGATCCTGACAAGGTGAAAGCAGTGCGTGCTTGGCCAACACCAGACAATGTGGGAGAGTTAAGAAGTTTCTTGGGACTCTGTACATATTACTGGAAGTTTGTGAAGGACTTGTGCAACTATAGCTGCTCCTCTACATGATTAGACTAAAAAAGGCCAGAAGTTTCAATGGACAGTTTCTTGCCAGCTTTCTTTCAAGACATTGAAAAAATTGGCCTCTGCTCTACTTTTAAATCTTCCAAATTCCTCACTGCCGTACATACTAGATTGTGATGCTAATAATTTTGGAATTGGAGGAGTGTTGTCTCAGAAGTGGGTGAAAACGAACATGTGATGGCCTACTTCAGTAGAGTCCTGAGTAGACCAGAGAGGAACTACTGTGTAACACGAAGGGAACTCCTTGCTATAGTAGAAAGTCTGACATATTTCCATCCTTATCTCTATGGCACCAGGTTTACCATCAGGACAGACCATGCTGCATTACGCTGGTTAAGATCATTAAAGAACCCACAGGGACAACTGGCTCGTTGGATTGGAAAGATAGACCATTATAATTATAATATTGAGTATAGAGACGGAAAATCTCATGGTAATGCCGATGGACTGAGCCGAAGACCCTGTAGAAGTGACTGCAGACATTGCGGCAAAAGAGAGGTTGAACTAACCAGGTGTCATCAAGCTGAAGTCAAAGTGACTGAAGAAGTTTATGATGGTGAAATGGAACCAGGTATAG